AATTTGCTATAGAGCACGTGCACTTACCAAAGAGAGACAGAGAGAGAAAGTGAGAAAGCAAGCTACCAGGTCCAGGATTCAAACCATGGTCAGCCATGTGGGAGTCCAGCACCTTCACCACCACACCACCAACTGGCCCCAACTCATAAGGAAATTTAAAAATGCTAAGCCACACTCACAATTTACAAACATGCAAATAAAAAGAAAACATTTACTTTGCCTTGTACCAAACACTGTCATCATCACATTACAAACTTTCCAACTTCATCTTAATAGAACAAAGTTCTAAGTACTATTATTAGCCTCAACTTAACTACAGGTAAGAAAACTGAGTACACTGTATATATGGTTCCTCGTGCACTAACAGAAGCAATGAGGCACCCAATGTTAGGACTCTTAGCCACAGTTATACCTATAAATTCCTTAAAATAGAAAAGTCATGGGGCTAGCAGGTTGCATAGTGGTTAGGGTGCTTGACTCTCACATGGCTTTGTTCGAGTTCTGGACCTGGTGGCTTACTTTCTCACTTTCTCTTTCTCTCTCTTTCTCTGTCTCTTTCTTGATAAGCACACATGCTCTATAGCAATTAAAAATAATCACAAAATTAAATTAAAATATATTTTTAAAAGAATGGAAAAGTCATTTTTTCCTAAGTCAAATTAGAAAATATTAAATGAAAATCTAGTATGTAAGACTGTGCAGACCTTGTACACATGGATAGTAGAATTGTACAGGTGTTCAAACTTACAGGAAATAAGTATGGCAATTAGCATCTTAATTAGCATCTTAAAATACGGTGGGACCCTGTCAAAAACACAAGCATGGGCTTGAACACGGCAGGGCAAACATGTCATATAGTCTGTTATTAGTCCTCTTACACTCCAAGTGGTACACCACCAGTGAAATCTTGGTCTCCACTGTCACTTATCCATGAGTATACTACAACTTATCAAGGTCCTTTGTCTTCCCTGAGTGATCCACAGATTGGCAGAAAAGGTTCTCTTTCTGCTTGGGCTGCAATATGACTTGCCTCTAATGAGGAAAGAGCTTACATGCAGAATGAGAACAAGCAGAGAAGTAGAGCAAAGAGGTGGAGAGAAAAACAGAGCCTAGCCAAGATCATTTGAGACTCCACATCTAGGCAGGCATGAAACAAGCCAAGATGAAACTTTTATCTGAGCAAATCCAGTATTTTTCTCCTACAGTTACCTTAAGCTGGACTTCAGTCACTTAGAATGAAAAGGTTCTTAATACACATCTCACCATCTCACTTCTAAGAATCGTTAAGTATAAACTGCACAATTTGAGGTCCTGCTGTGGTGGCACAGTGGAAGTGTGCTGCTACACATCTCTAGGGTGGCATAAGAGGCCCAGATTCAATTCCTAACCCAATCTATACTGACCAAAGATACAGCAGCATGCACCTGTGGTCTTAACTAAGAGGCTGAGACAAGAAGGATCAAAATATGATGGCATCCTGTCAAAAATAACTATGACGGTCTGTCTCTCTCTCTCTTTTCCCTTTTCCTCTCTCTCTCTCTTCCCGCCCCCCACTCCTCCTTCTAAGCACTCACTTGCTTTTGCTCTTAAAAATTTAAAAAAAAAAAAAATTTCACAATTTTGGGAAAAAAGGTAGAAGGATGTGTATTCAAGTGTATCTTATAACAGAAAAAACAACAAAACTCAAAATGCCCACCAACAGAGGGCTGCTCAAATAAATCACTGAACTGTTCTAATTAAAGTCATCTATTCTATTGCAGTTACCCACGCCCCCTAGGAGATTCCAATTCTAAGGTCTAAGATGGGTTATTGGGCGGGATCATATTTTTAATAAGCAATTATATTTTAAGTTTTTGCTATAGGCTGTGTGAAAAAAAGTAGAAATCACCGCCCGGAGGGATAGCTATGCTGTAATCCCTTTTCCTCCATCCTCCTCTTGGCACTTTAGGCACGCATGCATACTCGCCCAGTATATCTTCCTAGCAGTCAGGTTCAGGACTCAAAGCACACACTTGGACATGTGGGGTTCCAGCTGCCTTAAACACCTTGCCACCAGGCTAGCCCAACGAGCAATGTTTTTAACCCTACAATTTTCACAATCAAGGTAGTTGGAAAATCCCAAATTATAGTATTTATATGTACAACGGAATATATTTATTTATGTGAAAAAGTTGTCCAGAACAAATTGCTAAGTAGAAAAAAAGTTACATTATGAAATACAAGTTACATTTGATTCTCTTCATACAAAATTATGTAACTATCCATGTGTGTATATATTTGACTAGAGCATTCATTTTCCACCAGCATAGAAGTACTGTGACTACTGAGATTCTTTCTGGGGCTGAAATGGGGTTCCAACCTCCCTAAAGATCCTGGAACAATCTCTGTGCTCTGGGGACCGGCAGATGGCATCATGGTTACCTCACTGGACTCCCATGTAGTTGACCACAGTTAAAGTCCTGAACCCAGCGGCTTAAAATTCACACCAGGCACAAGTGCAAGAGTGCCCAAAATCCCGAGAGGAGAATAGAGGAGAAAGGACTATGGTGTGGCCATCCCCCTAGGGGGTGATTTCACTTTCTGTCTCTCTATTGCTCTCGGTTTCTCAGTGACTCGTGTGCCTTACAGTAAAAATCTCCCTTAAAAAAAAAAAAGAATCTATGCTCTGAGCTGCTATTACTATAAATGTGTTACATCCCTCAGGGCAAACACAGGTTGAATGAACACCTTGGCACCAAGAAAGTCTAGAATGATGGTCATCAAATGGTATTAGAAGTTACTTCAACATCAGGCATACACATAATTTTATTTTTTTAGCCAACTGTTTTATAATGTTCTGTATTTAATTTTTATTTTTATTTAAATAAATCAGCATTTTTAGAATTGGGGAAGGGAAAGCTACTTACATAGGAGAAAGTTTAAATAGTTTTAATAAAGTATATGATTATTAAATACGGATTTTTCTGAAATGGGAAAATTCTTATCAACTTTCAAAATTAAAAAGTAACAGTAATACCATTTGCTACCAATGACTTGATTGCCTTGCCTTTAAAGGACTATCGGTCAAGGGAAAAGATGATATGTGGTGTTTTATCATCATTAAAATTCAACTGACAAGTAAGAAAATATGATAGATAAAGTTAGTCTCCTGTCAACAAGAAATTTTTTTTAGAGGTTTTTGCTATAGGGCGCATGCGCTCACCAGAAAGACAGAGTGACAGAGAGACAGAAAGCGAGAAATCACCCCCCATGGGGAATGGACACACCGCAATCCCTTCTCCTCCATTCTCCTCTTAGGATCTTGGGCACACATGCACACGTGCACGGCATGAGTTTAAGCCACCAGGTCCAGGACTCAAACCACGGTAGACTACATGTGAGGCAGCGACATAACCATTATGCTAACTTCTGGTCCCAACAAGAATTATTAATCACAAAAATATTAAGATTTAACTCCGTTAGCTGACTCTTACACTGAGTGACACTGAACAATACATAATTCATTTCACTCTCATTGTATATGTGCATATGAAGGTGATGTGGGGTTAAGGCACTGGATCCCACATGGCTGACACTAAGCACCAAACATGGCAGATTGAAAATCATGCCGGGCACATGTGTGTGCATGCCAAAATCCCAAGAGAAGAATGGAGAAGGGATTGTGGCATAGTGATCCCCCACTGCTCTGCCGCTGCCACCAGGGGGTAATTTCTCACTTTCTATCTCTCTGGCCCTCTACCTCTCCATTGAACACATGCATCCTATAACAAAAATCTTTCCAAAAAAAAACAAAGAAAACTCCAGGTCAGCCCATGGTGTGGTGATTAATGCAGGTGGGATCTCATAGAGCTGATTTTATGGTTCAGTTCTAGACCCAGAAGCTTGAGAAAAATATCCTGGTGCCTGTATGTACATGCCTAAAATCCCGACAAGAGGGAAAGATGGAGGAAAAGGGACTGAGGAGTGACCATGACCCATAGGAGTTGTTTTCTCTCTCTCTCTCTCTCTCTCTCTTTCTCTGCCTCTCCAGTGAGCACATGTGCCCTCTGGCAATAACTTTCCTTTAAAAAAAAAAAAAAGAAGAAGAAAAATAAAAAACCCTCAATATCCTATTTAGTTTCCTTCTGGAAAAGGAAATGTAATACACTGTAAAGTTATATGTGATTCAATGTAATATAAACAAGATTATGATAATAATAAGTGCTTTTTTAAAAAGAAAATAAATTTTTTTTAAGAGGTTTTTGCTATAGGGCGCGTGTGCTTGCCAGACAGACAGAAAGCGAGAAATCACCCCCTAGGGGGTGATGGCCATGCTGCAATCCCTTCTCCTCCATTCTCCTCTCGGGATCTTGAGCACGCACACGCGCCCGGTGTGAGTGAAGGCCCCCGAGTCCGGGAATCGAACCATGGTCAACTACCTGGGAGTCCAGGGACATAGCCATTATGCTAACTGCTGGTCCCCAAAAAGAAAATAAATTTAAAAAGAAAGAAAGAAAGAAAAAATACACTATTTAATTTCAAAGATAAGGTTGACAGGGAACCAGCAGTTAGCATAATGGCTATGTCGCTGGACTCCCACGTAGTCGACTGCGATTCGCGTCCCGGACCCGGTGGCTTAAAACTCACGCCAGGAACGTGTGCGTGCGTACCCAAGATCCCGAGAGGAGAATGGAGGAGAAGGGATTGCGGCATGACCATCCCCTTTGGGGGGGGTGATTTCTCGCTTTCTGTCTCTATGTCTCTCTCTGTCTGTCTGGCGAGCGCACGCGCCCTATAGCAAAAACCTCTCAAATAAAAAAAAAAAGATTAAGTTGACAGATTCCTCTTTAAGAAGATATTAACTCGATGTAGGTATTAATAAGAAATAAATGAAAATTAACATCCTAATAAAATTAGGTTTGATTCTAAATTTCCTAATCAATAAAAATATACACTCACAAAGGAACAAAAATGGCAATGTTTAATTTAAAATAAATATAGATAGATAAAATACAACTTACCCCATCCAAGAGAGTATTTGATAAATGCATACGGAGATCTTTACGAAATGGAAATTCCAGATTTGAAACATGAAATACCGAATTGTCTCTATCAACCATAAAAACTTCATTTGTGCCATCAATCAACATCATATAACTGTAAATAAAACATCAAAAAGGTATTATGAACAGTATATGAACAATGGGGTCATAAGAAACAATAGTTAGAACTGGTTTACTTTACAATTAGCTCTCTACACCCTATAACAAAAATCTCTCTAACAAAAAAACATAAAATTTAATTGGGACCAGTAGATGGCATAATGGTTATGCTGCTAGACTCCCATGTAGTCAATCGTGGTTCGAGTCTCGGACTTGGCGGCCTAAAATTCATGCTGGGCACATGTGCACGTGTGCCCAAAATCCCAAGAGGAGAACAGAAGAGAGTGGATTGTGGCATGGCCATGCCCCCTAGGATGGTGATTTCACTGTCTCTCCAGTGAGCACACATGCCCAATAGCAAAAATTTCTCTTAAAATTTTTTTCTCATTTCTACAAGGCATAAGCTCTCATCAGAGAGAGAAGATGAGGGAGAGAGACAGGGAGAAGACATGCCCCAATGGCACGAGGTCATAGCACAATCTCTTCTCCCCCATTTCTCTACTCTGTTATGATTTGAGGGATGTGTCACACATCCTGAGGCATGTTTTACATGCCACCAAGTGCCTTGATGCAAATCGTCATCACTTGTATAGGATTCGGTTTCCTTAACCATCAGGCCATGGGGCCAGCCCATATCATTGTTTTTTATTAGTTCAACAACTACATGAATTAGGTATTACTCTACTTCACAATAAGGAAAAAAAAAAAAAAAAAAAAAAACAGTGAAAAAAGTGATTTGCAAATGGCCAGTTCTCAAATTCTTCCACTGATCTTTCTAACACACCACAGCAAAAAGCTAATTCCTCTATTTGAATCAGTATCACAATTTAGCCAGATATCACAATTTCAGATATAATATTTCTTCTCATTTATGGCTATAAAGTTAAAATATTTTTAAACACGAGCCACAAAAATTTGACTGGCCCTTATATTCTTAAACCCAATCAATATCTGGGGAATTTATATACATACTCTGTCATCCTCTAAATGGTCCAGTTACTATCATTGACTCCCCATCAGTAAATTATCAAAAACAGAGCTCTCTTTTACACCACATATTAAAATAAAGTACAGATGGGTTCAAGTTGAGGAAATTACAGACTGAGAGGCCATACCACTAAGTGGAGATTAACAAAATTTAAAAGAAAATGGAGATCATAACCGGGTACCAAAGTTTTCAAAGAATGAGAGAAAGTTGACAGCCAAAAGGGGGAACTGGATCAATTTGTTACGTTGTTTTTGTTTGGTGTTAAATGAAAGAGTGAAATCAGGACCAGCAGATGGCATAATGGTTACATTGCTGGACTCCCACATAATCGACTATAGTTCCAATACCAGATCCAGTGGCTTAAAATTCATGCCATGGATGTGTTCATGTGTGCCCAAAATCCCGAGAGGAGGATGTACTGCAACATGGCCATCCCCCTGGGGGGTGATTTATCACTTTCTGTCTCTCTGTCTCTCCAGCAAGCACACGTGCACTATAGCAAAAATCTCTCTAAAAGAAAAAAAGAAATGAAAGAGTAGAATAATAGCCTGGATGTACCACTGAAAATGGAAGAGAACATTGGACATTGTCTCCTAAACCTAATCTCAGTATCAGAATCTGACATCATTAGTGTTCTATATTCACAATTTAGAAAAAAATGACTTATGCTAGTAAATTTTAGAACTCATTAGGAAAAAAATGGTTTGCCTCTTAGGAATATATAATGATAACAGAAAAGATAGTTCCCTTTTCATTCACTAACTGTCCAGAAGTTCACATTAGATGTAATATTCAAAAGAATAAATTTAAAATCACACAGTACTGGTAAACTTATTTAATATATATAAACTTGATATATATGAACATGTGTACATGTGCTTTACTATGAGAGCTTTCTTTTTACTCAAAGTAAACTATAAAATAAAAGAAAATACTGTCTATGAACACATGTGTATAAGCAAATTTAACAGCCCAAATATAAAAGGCTTTATATCATGGGATTTACTAAAGGACTTCTTATGGGAAACACATCCACTGAGATACCAGGGAAAAGTATTTAGCAGTTGGTAGTTAGGGATTCTTCTTCTGCACATATAAATTTTCAGGCTTTGAACACAAGTTTCTAAGCTATAATTTTTTATTTGAACTCCAGTTATTCCCAATTATATGATTGTTATGTGATAGAAAAAAGTAATGAACTAGTTCATGTTAAGGAATAAGGATGAGGTATGTACAAGTATTTCACACCACTCGAAAGTCTACAAAAGCACTCAGATTGTTTAAAAGAGAGGCAATTATCTGACACAGTGCCAGACACTGGCTTAGTACATAACCATGGTCTTACTTTAAGTTAAATATAGTGAATATAATTCTTATTAATAAGAAAATTCTCTCAATTGCAATATTATATTAAGAATTATTCATATATATTTGCATTATATCTATGTTCGTGAAAAGACATTTAATTAATTCAGTAAAAGTGGCATTGAATTAGAAAATATTGATTCACTTTTTATGTTAAACTGTATATATCAATGCTATATAAATAACAGAAAAGCCAAATTTATAAACTACTTTACTGTAAATTCAGGTTTCCAGCTTAATTAGCAGTAATCTTTCAGGATGGTCACTGAGGTGTGAGATATATAACCAAGTAAACCCAAGATGTGTACAAAAATACACATTACTGGAATTTAAGTACATAATTAAAGAGAAGGGAAACTGATAGAAAATACTGACAATAGTACCTTTGAGTTCCAATGCACATTCCTACCAGTAGTCTGAAAATAAAATGATTTCTAAAAAAATCTTATAATTTAAACTTATCACCATTTCAGACCCAACTCATTGATTACATTTCTAGGAATTTTCACTGTACAAAAGCAGAGATCATATATATTTTGTTCTTTCTCAAAGTCCAGATACCTTGTACAGTCTTATCAGAATACAAGCAGAAGTATATGATCTGAATACAAGTATCGATAAATACTTAAGCAATCCTGTACTAGAAGTCTTCATAAAATTCATGGAAAATGCATATTATAAAATAATCATGGATTGTTCTTTTTAAAAAATTTGGACCAATATAAACTCATATCTTAATTCTATTTTTCCAAGAACTTTTTGAGGTCCCCTCATATGTGTGATGAGGTTGACCATAGTATTTTATAACAGTGAAAAGAGGAAAACTCAAATGTCCATCATTCAGTAGATAATTATATAAATATCACATTTCCATATGAAAGCATGCCACTTAAGTATTTTTTAAACAATCATTTTAATACTATGCTAAGCAAAATAAATAAGTTAAAATCAGAAGGTATACTATGAGGGCCAGCCCAAAGCACTGTGGGTAGGCATACTGCAACAGGAACCAGATCCCACATGGGCTAAAGTGGTTCAAATCCCAACCCTGGTGACTTGAAAAGCACATCAAGCACATGTAATATATGTGCATGCCCAAAATCCTGAATGGAGAAATGGACAGAAAAAAACTGCACAGTGACTATGCCCCACTGGAGAATGCTTTCTCTCTCTCTCTCTCTCTCTCTCTCTCTCTGGCAAGTGCAAGTGCTTCTCTGGCAATTAAAGAATGAAAAGAACATATAACAAGATTACAGAAAGGAATGGAAAGATAAAACTGTGTGTATAAGTAGATAAAGATAGACGAGGGACCAGCAGTTGGCATAATGGCTATGTTGCCGGACTCTCATGTAGTTGACCGCAGTTGGAGACCTGGACTCTGTGGCTTAAACTCCCACTGGGCGTGTGTGCATGCGTGCCTAAGATCCCAAGAGAAGAATGGAAGAGAAGGGATTGTGGTGTGGCCATCCCCCCTGGGGGGTGATTTCTCACTTTCTGTCTCTCTGTCTCTCTCTGTCTTTCTGGCAAGGCTAACTACCTTAACCACCATGCCACCAACTGGCCCTAACTTGGTTCATTCCACCAACATCTTTATCTATTTTCATTAACTGCAATCAAACTCACTATGGCTTTTCTCTTAAAAGGATTAATTAGGGGCCACCAGGTGGCATGGTGCTTAAAGTGCTGGATGACAGACTCCATGAGTCCCGAACCCAGTGGCTTGAAAACCACATCAAGCGTGTGTGTGTGTGTGTGTGTGTGTGTGTGTGTCTCTACCCAAAATTCCAAGAAGAGACTAAAGGAGAAGGGTTTACATTGTGGCCATTCCCACTTGGGGGGTGGCTTCTCACTTACCCTCTCTCTCTCTTTCTCCTCCAGTGAGCACATGCACCATGTGGAAAAATAAATAAATAAAAAAACAGTATAAAATAAAAATAAATCCCAAAAAATTCATCATTTTTTAAAATATTTATTAAAGGGCCAACCAGGGCCAAGCATGGTCCTAGATGTTAGAAATATAAAAGTGAACACAGACTCTCTTCTCTACCTCATATATTTACACACTTAACCAAAAAAGAGACAGTAAACAAATAATCCCATGCTTAAGTACTACAAAAATTTTTTTTAAAAAGTACTACAAGAATATGCAAAAGATAGAACCTGGGCTCACTCCATGGGCTAGTAATTAAGAGAGCTAGATCCCACATGACCAGCTATGATCTGAATTCCAGACCATCAGCTTGGAAAACACCAAGTATATGCATAAATACCCAAAATCCCAGCAGACTTGAAAAATGGAGGGGAAGGGATTGTGGCATGACCATGCCCCAATGGGGAGTGCTTTCTCCCTCTCCCTCTCTCTTTCTCTGACAAGCACATGCACCCTCTAGCAATTTTTTTTTTTTTTTAAGAAGAGAGAGTAGGTCAGAATTTGTAGATAAGGGAAGATGTCCCAGAGAAATTCATGTGTAGCTGATGACCATGGTTCGAGTCTCAGACCTGGTGGCTTGCTTTCTCACTTACTTTCTCTCTCACTCTCACCCTCTGTCTCTCGCTGGTCAAATTAAGAAATAAATGAATGAATAAATAAAAAAATAAAATAATTATTTAAAAAAAAAAAAGAAAGTCCTGGACTCCCACAT